TTAAAAAATTATTTTAGATCATTTTATTTTCCTTTATTGTGTAATGTCTTTTTGCTAATTGTTCTGCCATTGTAGAAAAATGATAGTTGGACAATAAATTATTTTAAACTTTTGTCTTTATATTTTAAAATAATTTTCCATATTCTTTTTTCTTTTTTGTGTATTATTTTCATTTGATGACATATTGATTGAATTGGGATCTAGAATGGAAAGTAAATAATAAGTTTTAGGAGTAATATCAGAGTTCAAAAAAAGTAAAGCAGTTGACTTTTTTTGATATAGTAACAATGCTCACGAAACACTTTAGACATTAATTTCTAAAACTTTTATCATATTTTTTCATTCATAGTATCACCAAGCCTCTTTATTAAAGGGAAATAATGTTTTCAACCCAAAGTTTGAAATGAAAGAAATGGTAACAGTCTCATTTCACGCAGACTCTGTTGAACCAGTTTTTACATTTGAGAGTAGATAATCTCAAGTCCCAAGTAGTATATAGCAGGGATTGGCCATGAGAATGAAGGGGGTCCTGGCTCAAATCCCAGCTCTCCCAGTTCATAACTGTAAACCTGTGCTGAGCCATCACCACACTTGAGCCTCCATTTCCAATTATTAACAGCTATTTCATAAGCCCTCTTAGTTAAATGCCCAATAAAGAAGGCCATTAATCCGTACTAGTATTGTATTAATTGTTGTATAAATGTTAATTCATTGATTGAAGACAGTAATCTATTTTTTAAAAATATTCAGGCTTAAGTGATTGCTGAGATAGTCACAAAACCTCTGGTTATCCTGCATAGTCTGCACTGAGGGGGAAAAATATGGCCTGTTTTCTTTATATTACTAATTTTTTTCCTAAAGCTTATTTTACAATATTTATTAATTTTAAATCATATTTTTAGTAAGTTGGCAAAACTAGCATTTCTGCTTAAGTTATCAGTGTTTTATTACTAAAAAGTACTTAACATTTCTTATAGAAGTCTGGTCCATATTTAACTTGAAGTTAAATACATACATGAATTGGAACTTCTTATTGACAATCTTTTAAAGAAAATCTTCAGTGAGAGTTAGATGAAATAATTGGAATGTCAGTAGAAATAACATAAATTGTGTTCTATTAGGTTATAGCCTTGCACATCTGCTGTGACTCTAATATCCACGACGAAAGCTGTCATGACAGGGAAGATTATCATTATTGTCTTTTCTGTAAAATATAACTAGTTAAGTAATTAAGGTTATGAATCAAACAAAATTAACTGCACACAGCTGTAAGGAGCTTAGTGCGTGACCAAATGACAGATGGGAAATTCTTTTGTTTTCACTGGTGATTTACCTAATGGTGAGATAAATGTCTGATGACATACAAACTCCAGTGTCCCGTCAATCCTTAGCCATTTATTTCATCACTCCTCATGATCCTAAAGGAGAGGAGTAACTGCTCAATCATCAAAGTGTGTAAGTATCTTTGTACTGTCTGTTTGGGCAAACCTGCAAGCAACAGAAAAAAAAAAGTTTCAGCCTGAATTTAATAGCATATTTACAACGGGTGAAAAGGTGCAATTTGTACAATAACATACACATGATCTAAAAATGACATTCAGAAAGTTTAGGATATAATTAAAATGAATTTAAATAGTTTTCCCTTAGGAGAAAATAATAAAATTAATATTTGAACAAAATTTCCTAATTATGAAATTTGTGTGTAAGCCCATCCATACATAAAATTTCTACATTAAATAAACCCATCACTTGATTTAATCAGATTCAAAGTTTTAACTATTTTTTGCTATGTTGTGAAAGAGAACTGAGAGATCAGGAATTTAAATAATTTTCTCAAGCTTGCAGACTTAGTAGAACCAAAGAGACTGTGAAAGAGACAAGAGAAATGTTTCAGATTTGAGGAATCCTCTGACCAGTTTGGTGAGTTGGAAGAAAAAGAGTGAGATGAAGTGATGAATAAAGGGGTCATATCCTGAAAAGATTTATAAGCCATAGTAAGTATAGAAATTTATATCCAATGAATGAAATTGCAAGTCATTTTGACCAGTGCTGTAAAGGTAGAGTAAACAGATGTAGGCCAGACAGTGTAGCAAAATCTGGCTTGAAGAATAATAAGAGAAAGTCTATGAAAAGGATACTTGAATTTGATGTAGACCTTTGATGAACAGAATAAGAAGCAAAGATATTCATAAATGATGGAAATGGAGGCACAGATGTGAGATCATATGGATTATTCACAAAGATGAACAACCAAGTGTGTCTAGAGTCCATAAAGCAGGGTGGCCAGATGCAGGGCCAGAAAAATAGATTAGGTAAGTAGATTAGGTAGATTGACAAGGACCCAGAGTCAATGCCATGGACTTTGGGTTTCATTTTATAAATAATACATAGCCAATTTAGATAGTTTCGGAACCGAAAGTAGACCAGCAGAGTCAAGGATTAAATAGAGAAAAAAAGACCAGAGGCAGCAAGTCCAGTCAGGTTGAACTACAAGAAGTAACAAAGAGCAAATGCCTTTGTCCTTATGATTATTATCCTCTGGGGGGCTCCAAAGAGCTTAAAAGCAATTAAAACATAAGGGAATAATAAGCTATGGAAACATCAAGTGTATGAAATGCTAATCCCCAAATTCAGTTTTTTCAAATTGTTTTGAATCACTGATTGAAAGGGTGTACAGAGAGAGAGAGAGAGCTTGCGAGCACCAAGCCTGCACATAAAACACGTTTAAATATTTATTCAGTGTATATGATTACTAGAGAGATTAGAATAGCTGTATCTATTGTACAAAAGACGTTATAGAGATCAAATGAAACAAGAGATATGAAAGCTCTTGTAATAAACATGTTATGTAAATGTAATCCATTAATATTATATTTAATCCCTGTAGAAAGGTTTTGCTCTTTTTATATTATTGCAGCAACAAAGTAATATCCCCACTTGTCTTAGGCTTTGAAATGTTAAAAAAATGTTCCTTTTATAATAAAAGCTTTAGATATGTTTTGTGTAAGTACATGAGAAAAAGATGGGGAATAATAGAGAAACAGGAAAATATAGCCTTGTTTATCAGACAAGCAAAGTACAAGTGAGGATGATTCTTTCATCCAGCTTCTAAGCAATTTTCCAGTGCCTTTAATTGGCTCTATGGAGCTGGATTCTCTTGGACAAAAACTTATATGATGACTTTTACATGAAAACTATGGTGATTTACAGAACAGTACCTCAACCCTTTGATACAGATTTGATTTTTTCTTTTCTTTTTTTTAATTGATTGTTCAAAACATTACAAAAAAAAACTCTCACAATATCCTCAGTTTGGGGAGAAGGTAGCATAGAAAGCTGGAAAGAACCTGGTGCTTGAAGATATACAAATCTATATGTGAACATCATTTCTGCCCCTTGGAGCTGTAGAACTCCAGGTAACACACCAAGCCTCTCTGGGCCTTCATTTCTCCTTTGTAAACTGCTGGTGGCAAACACCTCTCTTTCAGAATGGGTATTAAGGGAAACAGAAATAGCTTAAAGACTTGGACAAATCCTGGCACATGGTGGGTAATAATGCATGCCAACTCTACCCTTTGGAGTTGTAAGGCTCTATACTCTATTAAGCAATTCTTGGAATATAGTAGGTGTTCAGTAAATATTTTTGGAAGAAACACTGGTACAGATTGTAGTCTCTTTCCTTATATTAGTAATAGTATTCTTCCCACTTGCACTTGGTAGGGGTATTATTTCTTAAGGAGCTGAAAACAGAGCTAGGTGATTAGGTGGTAATCAGGTTGTCTGTCATCCTTTTCATTTTTTTTTTTTTTATTATGTGGAAATGCAATAGAGTATTATTTATTCAGGAAAATAAAAGTACAGTATTTCAACAAACATTGTGAGAGACTAGTCTGGTTTCTTGATCTTTCTTGTCTAGGCACGCCCCTACCATTGTACTGTAAATAGAATGTTTAGTCATACAATACTTAATCTCTACAACTACAGCAATCAAGAAAGTGATCAGGATTCTTCTCATTGAATCATGTAAATAGTACTATTTCTGCTACCACCACTGTTAATCCTTTTTGGAAAGGTCTGTTCCCCACACCTTTTAATTTCATTTACTTATTTATTTTTCATTTCTGTGAAGCCAGTCTCCTGACTTAAGTTACCTTAAGCAATGGCACATGTGATGCATGTGTTCACAGAATTTATCCTATCTTATGCTGCCATCTGCTGGGAACATACTCCTTAGTGAAGGACGCCAAGTTAAAATCTACAGCGAGCTTTGTGTTAATTACTAGCTTCTTAAGTGGTTCCCCCTGAGATGATGCGGGGGATTCACCTAGGAAAAAGAGCCTTTTTGTGCTTTTATGATAGGAAGCAGAAAAGGGAAACAGAGATCTGACTAATTTTTAAAATAATACTTCACCCTATAAACATCTTGCTGATTCATTCTACCTGTCATTTAGCCAACACTCCCTTAATGTCTTTTCTGTGCCAAGAGCTGCAGAGAAATGGTCCTTCTTTAATAATTTACTTCTCAGTAGGAAAATTCAGAATTAAAACTAATAAATATGGTAAAATATTCTAGATGTTACAGTAGAAATAGGAGGAAAGAGAGTGGGTAAGGCAATTCTACCCCCAAAGTTAAAGGTTCTTGCAAAAGCAAAGGCAGAGGATGACACTGATATGGAACAAATGCTCACCACGAGGGAAAGGCAGGAAAGAGGGTTCTGGCCAGATCCAATATTACGAACAAAGATATTTATTTCTAAAGAGAACTGTTTGTTTGTCTTTAGTGTAGAAAGAGGAGTTAGTTTGATACTCCTTGTATTTTACTGTATGTGGATTTTTAATTTTTCAAATAAATATCAAGTGAAATATTTTCAATTTTTATATGAAAATCTTATTTTAATAATAAAGAGTAAACAGTGATATATGAAAAAACTCAGAGTACACTATATATTTTTTGTCAATGGCATTGTTAATGTTTAGTAAACATTTCCTGTATTACTCAGATTACTACTTCTGTCTTGAAGAAGATTTCATATTACTGGAGCCCTGATAACTGGTTTCCTGCAGTATTAACTCTAACAGGAGCTCTTTTTATGGCGTGCCTCTATGCTGGTGCATGGTGCCTCTTCAAAGAGTAAGATTTTAGTTTTGCTTCCATTTGAATTTGTTTGAATATCATAAAACACATCAAGAATGGCTTTAAAAGACCAGGATGAAAGTGGAAAGAAAAGGTTGAGATAAATTCACCTATTACTTTTAGTGCTTGGTAAATGTTATCTTTGCTGATAATCGCAACAAAGCTGGAGAGAATAGTACTTCTGTTTTAGATTAGATTCAGGATGTTTTGGTTCAAAAGCTAATGCTCTTTCTCTAAGTGATCAATCCAATGATACAAGCATTAAAACAAACAAACAAACGCAACAAAAAAAGGAAAAAGAAATGAAATTTTGAAAGATACTACAAAAAATACATAAAATTTAGTTGGTACATATGTATAAACGATATTTACCTACCTAAGGATAGATAGAGGTCCTCAAAAGATAAAGAATTGTAAGATAAAGAATTGCAATAGTAACTATAGGAGGATCAAATTCATTTAAAACTTATTACCTAAGTTCTTATGGTTTAGATATTGTGACAGGTGGTCAGAATACAGAGATGATAACAGATAATACCTGCCCTCAAGGAGCACCATCTCTGGTAGAAAGGACACAGGAAAATGAATAGTTACATTAGATTATAAAGGAAAGTGATAGGGGTCTAATTAGGATTTAAACATGTTTCTGCAATATACCTAACTCACCTGGAAGGATTCGGTAAGAAATTTTCATGGACAAAGTGCTACTGAAGCTGGCTTTTAAAGAGCCAATGGAAAAATATAAAAGGCACAAAATGTATTTTAAAGTGATTTATTTTTCTTTTGAGAAGGATAGAAATGGAACGTGAATAGGTTAATATGAACTCTACAGTTTTACTCATGTTAGAAAGTAATGTTAGTTACTAGTAAGGTTGGTTCTTATCCTGGAGGATGGAGTGTAGACTCCACAAGGTAATATGAGTTAGCCTGAAAGTAAAAGTTTAGGAAGGACCATAAAGAGGTTGTGACCTTTATATGAAGCGGAGATAGTTCAGTGAATTTAAATTTCTGTTTTGAAGGTGACATATACCTTAGAATATTATGTGGATTTGTAATGGTAGTATCAACTGCCTGAATAAATAATTTATTATTTTAAAAAACAAGCAGTTAGTGAATTAAGAAGGCATAATCAGTGTTTTTATTTTTATTTCCACTTCTTCCTATGAGAAATTCCTGGTCTTAAAACTAGCTTATCATGGAGGGGTCTTGTAGATGTGCTACAACCAAGCATGACAGAAATCGAAGTGCTAAAATACAGTATCTATCAAACTAGAAACTTCTCCCCTGATATCTAATGTCATATATATCCCATAGTCCCCCCCTAAATGTAGAAATGTTATTCTGAAATATTTTTAACATCTAAAAAGCTATTTTCTCAGTTTTGAGGATACCACCCAATTCCCAAATAATTATTTTTATGGAAGTTTTATTAAAATGAAGGATAAAACTATAAAACTAATTTATTTATCCTTGTAAAATTAAGTATACTATATTCATTTTAAAATTCAAAAGAAATTCTTATTAACTGGCATATATTTAATAGATTAAATTTTATTTATTTATTTTTTTGCCTGGGAACGGTTAACTGGGAAGCTCAATGCTAGTAAGATTAAAGCAGGTAACTACATTTGATAAAAAAAAAAAAGCACATTGGTTTCATTTTGTAAATGTCTTCCCTGTCCCCTACCCAACCTCCTTTAACTTCAGTGTTCCTGCCTGTTCAAGATTATTTCCTCACTGTCACAAACATCAGCAGCATCAACCAAGTCTCACTGCCAAGGATCCAGGGCAGGTACCAAGGTAAAAGCAGATTTGATGTTTTAAAGAAAGAAATTTTAGGTTTTATAAACTGGTCCTAAATGCTTCAATAGACATGAAATTTAGAAATATAAGATTTTGATTGATATTTTAAAAAGTTACATTTAACCCTTAAATTCTTTGTCAATTTTTTTAAGTAGCCCAAGCTTAATTCATCAATATTTATTGACTACCTAATATTATTTCAATTATAGAGGCATACTAGAGAGCAGAATTGCATTTACAAATGCTCATTATGACCTAGTATGAGTTTTCTGCTGCCATTGAATTGGATTAATACTGTTTTCAAGTCATTTAATGATAAGAGGCATAAGTGTCCCAGGGATGAGAACAAATATCATGTTTCAAGAAACCAAATGAAATATATAAACTTTTACTTAGAACAGCATCGAGATCCATTACTTTATTTAGAAGAGATAGTATCTGAGATTATTAATAATAAACACTTCTATTAATCTTAAGAACATAAGTGATTCTGATTTATAATGTCTAGGAGGCTATTAAGAAATACTTTATAGTCTATTTAAATATAGCATTATGTAGTGTTGGCTTACCTATTGATTTATAAAAGAAACCATTGCATCATTTATTATTTATGTACATAACCACTAAAATATATCACTTGCATTAAAGATTCAATAAATATTTCAAAAATTTATTTAACACTTTTTGTAGGCATGGAAACTCTTTGAGTAGTGTTCCCAAACCAAACTCAAAACCAAACTTGCTGCCTGGAAATCATCAGGTAAGGAAAAAGAGAACTCATGTCAGAGATACTAGAAGTTATTCTTGCATTTTTCATGGTGTCCAGACAATAAAGCATTTGTAAATAAACTGTCATAAGTGGTAACTCATAAATCAAAATGGGAGATTGTATGCACTTCAGTTGAGTGTGGAAGAGAAAATTAAGAAAGAGCTAACATTCTATTTTAAGTGCTTGACATTGGTGACAGTGACGAATGAAATTATATAGCAAGAGAAATCTATATTGATGGTGTATTGGTGAAATGGCTTTCAAATTTCCTTCACTATGTTTTCTCCCTTTTGAAGGATGAAAAAAGGTAGGTTAAATTAAATTGCAAACAGCAATGTTTTGTTGAATTACATGATTAATTTTTATGTAAAACCATATTTGATTCAATGTCTTTGGAGAGGTATTTTCCATTTAATACCAAGGTCATTAGCATATATATTATTCTAATCCATAATATTAATTCAATAGGCATTTATGCAACACTTAACTATCATAGGCCACTCTTCTGATTACTTGGGAGAATCTAAGGAAGCATAAAATATGGCTTTTGCTCTTCAAGAACCCATAATCCAGCTGGGTAGAGATATAAGTAAAAAATTGTAGGGAATAATATATGGTAGTTTTTTTTTTAAATTTTTCTTAACATGCACAGTGCATCTAATCAGCTCCATACGAATTCAGAGAACAGCAAGGTCCTTGTGAGGTAGACCAGTAAGAGAAGACTTTGTAAAAGAATGAGCACTGGAGATATGGTGAATAATTGGTGTGTGTTTATAGATGGGGAAGAGTGGGAAAAGGTTGCATAGTCTTGGCATGAAGCATGGTGAACAAATGCCAACACTTTCACAAAGTTTTCTTCCACTTGGGCCAGTATTCCTTTCTCTTTTGCATTTCTCATACCTGTCATCTTCTCCAGTTCTACCACTCAGTCTAAGTTAAATGCATCTACAGGGCCTACATGTATCTCCTCATTGCTCTCCTACCACATTATTGTTTTCACTTTTGTGCACTAATGGAAATGTCCCTGAAGAACACCACCGTGGAATTTAAGCACAAACACTCTGTCAAAGCTGAGGCTGGCACTAAGTGACTTACCTTTTCTACAATTCTTCCTTGCACAGTGTACATCTCTTTCCTCCTTTACAAATTATTGCCCTTTGGGGTGTATATAATTAGATTTTAACAATCCTTACCTATTTTTGTTATCATCCCCTAATCCTTCAGTGACTTTAATTCTTGGCTTCCGGGGTTTTTATCCTATAATACTTCCTGGCATCTTATAGCATATTTAACCTTCACAGAAATTATCAACTTTTATCATGGCTGATCATTCTTTTAACTCCTATGTTCTTGCTCTTTTGTCCTTCTTCCTATTCCAGACACCCATCCCTATGGTCACACCCAAGACTGTAACATCATCAGTAATCATAACACTTCAAAAATCTAGTGTCCAAATATCATATTCTCTATTATCCAACTTAATCCAAAATACTTAGATATTTATTAATTTATTCCACATCATTATGCTAAAGACTGTGTTTCTCTTTCTTTCTCTATTAGTTCTCTAATGTCACTTTACTTGTCATCCTGATGGGATTTCATTGTTCATCACTGTTACTCTGTTCACATAGAGTTCACTCTTTGTCCTACCATCTCCTTCAAATTCAGGTAAAGAACTCAGTCCTGATTAAAGCAATCTGTCATTGAATCTGTGGCTGCATTTAAGCAGCAGTGTGTTCCTATTGAAAGTAACACAATTATGTGCTCTGGACTCAGTTCAGATTTATGACCATGTTTTCAAATCGTAGCTCAATGTAATCACATCAGACTATAGATCCCACATAAATTCACTTTTACCACCTTCAGTGATGAAAATTCACAGCTCTCCTGCTTTTCTCAAATCTTCAACACATCCATCTCTTCTCACTCTGAACTGTGATTTCTTTGCACATTTTACAAACAAAAGACATATCTGATTTAAAAACTCTAAGCCTCTAAAAACCAATTTCACTAACATGCCTGCATCAGTACCATACATTCTTACATCCCAAGTCCAGAGAAGTGTTCCTGTTTCTGGGTATATCCATCCACTCCAGTTATAATTTGGGGACCCACATCTCTGGTCTTCTCATGGATACATTTTCTATGTTTAACTGCTAGGTTATTTGCATTACCTGACATGACTTAAAATCTACTACTTCTGAAGTACTTCCTCTGACCCCGTTCACATTTTCTGTAACCATCTCTTTTCTGTTACTCTGCAGAGTACTATCCTTTAAAATACTTGTATAAGCTGACTATACATAATTTCTCTCCTCCAAGTATCTACTCAACTCAGTGAAAGATCTCCACATATTCGATACTCCACTGAAATAGCCATTATATAAATTTCCAATGACATATGATTTAGGAGAGGTCTGACCTAATTCTGATTTCTCTATACCTATTGTTATCAAGTCAATAGGAAGGTGATAGAGCACAATCTTTCTAGCTGCCCTGAGAACACTGTGTAATGGTGAGCAATATTTGGATATGACCTCAGTACAGTAAACTGCTCTGAAACTATACAGAGGCTTTCCGTATGTTTTAAGTAATGACTTAATGAATAATTAGATAAACAAGACAATTATTTTATTCAGTTGTCAGATTTCCTGAAGTTTGAATGACTTTAGTATAGTGGGCCTGTGAATTGCAAAGTAGTAATTCTATTAGGGATTATAAGGTCATTGACAATGTCACTGTTGACATTTAGGAAGACAATTTAGAATAAAATAATAATTGTACATGTTTTCTTCCAGCTGTCAACAGTGTGATGGGCATGTAATTGATCCTGGCAAGAAGCAGAATATGGTATCAATATTTCTATGTTTAAAAAAGTACTTTCTAAACAGGATCAATTTCACAATACTAAGGAGCAGCATTATGGAGTGATTAGTGTAATGTTAAATTTTGATTATGTAAAATATGCTTAACTTAAAGAATTATAAATGCTTATTTTTGATTAAAATTACAAGTACATTATAAGTTGTTGTATTGTTTTTTTAAAAAAAAATATTTATTTTTTTCTTTATCACAATGATTCATGAATTGTTGACATACTTTTTCTTAAAATCTATATTCTGAAATTCACAAACCCTATTCTTATGTAGTTTCAAATTCTTTCTCCATATCCGCCATAAATCTCCTATTACTACTTGAATAGACTTAATTAATCACTTTTGCCTGCCAAGACCTCCCTGTTTCTTTCCTAAATTTCTTAAATAAATTCAAACACTACTTCCACAATTACTATGTAATGACACAACTATTTATGGACAATATTGTGTGGGCATGTTCTAAGTGCCAGTCTCTGTGGGCAAAAAACACATAATGTTCAGTCCTCATAAAGCCACAGAGAGGTAATAACATTCCAAATTTTCCCACAAGGAAATAGAGACTGGGAGCTAAATTTATATTGTCAAAATTCCAAATCCTTAGCAAATGAAAATGAGCATAGTCTTCACTATCCCTAGAAATATTCAATCCCAAATACATTTTATCAGTTCTATGAGTATAGCACCATTTGTAGCTTAGTAAATTCGTCACAATGTTTCATGCCTTTATTCTTTGTGAAGAACATCATTACATGTATTCTAGTTATATCACTTTTTCATTTTATGCTCTGACTGCCTTTACCCTTCCTCAACCAGCTAAGTTCTATTTGTAAAACAAGACAGTTTAGACATCAAATCACCTGAAGAAACTTCCTTGAATGGGTGTGTCTCCACTTTGTTCCTAAAACACCATCACATATGATATCATTGGCTTCTATCTTTGTTTTTCTTCTTGGAAGAGAGTGTGAGATATTAATTGGATGTTTATCCCCGCTGCCAAGTAAATATTAGGCACTCCACACATATTTTCTTAAGAGGGGATTTGCTATTTAAGAGATTGCTGGTAACCTTTAAGAAGGTAAATATCTGGGTACAAGGGAGTAACGACTGAATGAAATGAGTAATCAGGTGTAAGCTGTTCTTTACTGAGATTTCCTTGCAGAAGGGGAGAAAGAATAGTAGCACAATATAAAGGAATACCTATAGATTATTTTTGTCCTTTAAAAGTCCTTTTTGACTTAAGAGATAATCCAAAGTATTTAGGACAAAATATTCTTTTCTTAGGACAGGTTAAAACTCACTCTCTCTCAGGTATATATGTCTGACTCTGTCTCTTACCTGTATATATGTATAATGATAAGAGGGAGATTTTACTGGAATATCAAATGGAGTTAAAATGGATAAAATTTTGTTCGTATTTTAAAGAGATACAGGGACAAAAAGAGGATTGGGAATACGGAGGGCTATCCTGGTACCCTAAATGCATCACTTAGTTTTCATATAATTTGGAGGAAACACTCAGTCTGTTTCAACTTTCAGTTCCCTCACCCATGAGCTGGAGATAACACTCTTATTAAAAGGTGCTGACATCTGTGTCCTAGTCACAGCAGTTCCCCTTGACTGGGGCTGGGAGGTGTGAAAGGCCTACTTATCTCCCAGGTGATTCCAAGTGTGCATCGGGATTGATTGAGACACACTGCCCAAAGTAGAAGGACGGACATTCAATGTCCTTTTCGTTCAATTGCTCTAGCCCCATTTACAATTGGAAATAGGAGGACCCCATCAGGAGGAATAGGCTCTGAAAAATGTAGGAAGAAGTTAAGCAAGAAGTAGAAGCTTATAGATAAGATTGAGAATACAATAGCCAATAGGAGGAGGGAGTTGTTCCTCCTGTTGGAACTGGGATTGAAGTGGGGCATCCAAAAGTTCATCTATCTGCAGATAGAGAGAAGTATTATGTCAGGTGAGCTTTGAATAACATAAATTAAAACAAAATAAAAACACATGAACATTTTTACTACCTGTTATTCATCTTATACTGAATGAAATATGTAAAATAAAAAAATGTCATGTAGATTTTAAATTTCATATACTACCAGATACAGATAAACCTCCTGTATGCCATGGAAAACTTGTCAAAATAACAACTTCATGTCTCCATCAAAATTTCAGGAAATTTATTCAGGAGCAAGATTTTCCAAGACTGCCCAATCCTAATAATTTATCTGAGATGCTTAAAATATTATATAATTATGGGCCCCACCCCAGCTCTTTAAGGAGAGGAATTTAGAAATGTGTATTTTTAACCAATATTCTGGATTATTGTGAAGACATGAGTAGTTAGAAAACCCTAATTTGAATAATTGTCTAGCTTCCAGACTGATTAATGTACCACTTGATAATAGCACGTGATACCACTATCACAAGACAGAACGCTCACCTTAAAATCAATTTAAGAAAATAATAAGGTTTTCTTTGAAAGGCCTAAATAATGTAAGAACAGGGTAAAAAATAAAATAATAACAAAGGCTTGTCATGAAAATCAACTGCCTTCCTCATCACCCCATGTCACCCTAGTACACACCTGCCTCTGTGGCAACTGTAATTGTATACTAAAAGTTAATAAATTATAATCCATGCTATATTGTGGTTATGTAAATCCCTTACTGAAAGACAAATAATATTCAAGCATGCCATTTTATTTGCTATATAATCACTCCTACCAGGAAATACATGTTCAGCAACAATCCCAATACATCTTGTCTTTGTTAAAACATTCCATAAGAGTGTTTGTATTTGAAGTACTGTACTGTTTTATGACATGTTTCAAAAATTTAGACAAAATATATGCTATAATGTGAAAAAAACAGCAATAAATAAAACTCCTAGAAAATGTTCTACATTTTTTAGATTGCTTTGTGCACCTTCTCTCATGTGTGTCCCCAACCTTAGAGGCCACTGCTATAGTCCCAGAATTATAGGCTCTAAACTACATAAAGGAGGATATTGTTATCAGTAAGATTGAGTCATTATTTTTCCTGCTTTCTATCCTCTGTAATCATGGCATGCTTTGGTGGGCTTCATATATGAAATATGGCTTAATGAAATAAATTTTCTTAATGATCCAAAAATATGCTTTTACTAGTTTTTCAAAAGAAGTTTATTTCTAGTTGTACCTATTGTATATAGTTCACGTCCAACATCATTAGTTTTTATTCTTCCAAAGATGTTCCTTTCAGAACTTTCTGCTATCCCCCTGTGCAACCTGAAGCAATTGTTATAATAATCTTGTTTCTATCCCAATATTTTTCTTCACCATACATTCAACCTGGACTAATGTGACCCCAGTAAATATCAATGCTTATTTCATGGGTGTTGTGTGTATGCTGGTACTCAAGGGAAGTTTATCTACAGTTTTATAGTATTCAGTAAAGGAGACCAAGTGTTCTTAGCCAGTGAAGGCCAACTCCATATACTGTGGTTTCTTCAGATAGAAAATAACTCATTCATCTCTGTATTTATTTACCGCAGTATGTCTTCCATTGTTTCATATCCATGTCAATAACTGTGACTTTTTTGTCAAAAAAAATAAGGAAAAAAGATTGGATTAAGTATGCCATGTTTGCTATTAAAATGTTTCATTAATTCTCATCTCAAGAGGAAGAAAAAATACAAATGCTCAAGAAATATATGAAAAAATGTTCAGCATCTCTAGCAATTAGAAAAAATACAAATTAAAACTACATGGAGCCAGAATGGCATTTATCAAGAATACAAGTATAAATAAATGTTGGTGAGGATGTGGGGAAAAGGGAACACTCATACATTGTTGGTGGGACTGAAAATTGATGCAACTACTCAGGAAAGTAGTATGCAGATTCCTCAAAAAACTAGGAATGGAATCACCATTTGACTCAGTTATACCACTCCATGATATATATCCAAAGGACTTAAAATCAACATACTACAGTAATACAACCACATCAATGTTTATTTCAGCAAAATTCACAATAGCTAAGCTATAGAGCCAGCCTAGGTCCCCTTCAACAGATGAATGGATAAAAAATATGTGATATATATCCACACAATGGAGTATCTCTCAGCCATAAACAAGAATGACTTTAAGACATTAGCCAATAATTGGATTTATCTGAAGACTGCCATGCTAAGTGAACTAAGCCAATCCACAAAACCAAAGTTTGAATGCTTTAGTTGATATGTGGAAGCTAACCCACAATAAGGGGTTGGGGAATAGAAGTTCATTGGATTAGACAAAGGAGAATGAAGGGAAGGGAGAGGAGATAGTAAAAGAAAAGACAGCAGAATGAATCTGACATACTTTCTTATGTACATACATGAATATACCACAGTGACTCTCACCAATATGTACATTCACAAAAAACTGATTAAAAATATAACTATAGATAAAGGGCAAAAAGATCAATAGAGGAATAGATCAGGGGCTGGGGGAGGGAAAGCTGTGGTACTGGGGTCTGAATTAGAAGAAGATATATTCCATGCTTTTATAATGATTTCAAAACGGATTCTATCTTCATGTATGACAAATATGAACCAATACAATTAAATAAATAAATATGTATTATACATAAAAATTTTACAATAGGTAAAAGTCAGTCTCAGTGTTAAATACCAAAGTACCTTCCATATGGGAACTGAGACATCTCAACCCCACATAGTGCTCTTTCAAGAAGTTTATGAGTTGTCTTCAGGTCTGGGGATGCAGCTACTCTATTAAATGCTAAATTTACTGTTTTCTCAAATCAGTCTTGCTCTTTCTTGATCTCTACCTGCTTTTTCTGCTGCTTAACCCATTTCTTTATTGAGGGGCAATATGATTTAAATATAAGTTTTATAAATCAGTGGATACATAAAACATTACAAATAAGAATAATTTCTACTTTATGAGCAGTGGACAAAAATTCCTACACTGTTGTGCAATTTTTATGTACCAGGCATACATGTATAAACTCATTTCATGTTCACAACAACCCTAGGAGCTAAGTACTTTATTTACCAGTCCCACCTTGTATATGA